CACAGACTTGTAGGGATTCCTGCACAAAAGGCAACGTGTGGTTTGGTGACGTTCATTTTTCTTTAATGTTAAAATAAGATATAGGCATATATGTGTGTGTGTTTGTGTATTTATATATGTACATGTGTATATATAAAAATATATATCTACGTTAGCAAAAATTTACCTTCACTGCCTCTCAGTGCAGCCAATGCACCCCTACATTGAGAAAGAAAGGAAAACAATACCCTTCCTTCAAACATGTCTAGCCAAAATGACAATTCCTTCAATAGCCATGTTAAAAAAAATGTTTCCACCTTCACCCTGAGTTCATCACTTCTACTTTGTTCAGTGGACTACCTGTTTAATCCATTTTCCTCTGGAACTGATTTGTAATTTTTTGGTCAGGGTTCCTGAGGTTTTCAAAAATATTTTCTTCACCATATTCATAGGCTATTTTTACTTATACATATTTTTAAATCTCATTTTTATTGGCATCTTCTATTTGTTTTTTTTCCCATTTCTAGTTATGTTCCTCCAACATTTCCTCTCCAGCAAACTATCCATTTCAACAAAGATTCAAGAAGAAACAGGAAAAAACCAGTTCAAAAAAACTAATAAACACATGAGTGTGGTCTGGTAATATGTATAGTATTCTACATGCATACTTTGTGAACACTGCAGGCAGAGAGGGTGCTTTATTTATTTAGTTATTTCTGTAGTGGTTTATTTTTATCTCTTCAATTGGATGTCCTATGGGCATTTCAAACTCAGCATGTCCAAAACAGATTCTCAAACCCTCCCCTCTTTCACACTCCTCTGGTACTAGTCAGGGTATCACCAATATCTCTGCTCCCCGGGATTGCAGCTTTGCTTTCCTGCACCATAGACTTCTCCCTCACATTTACTCTACAAACCCAGTCCTGTTCACACCATCATCAGATCTCTCCTAAATTCTCCCTTCTCTTCTCTGATTCTGCCACCATCTTGCTGCTGGCCCTCTGCACCTTGTGTTTTGACTGTGGCAATAACATTTGGGTTGGTCTTGCTACCTCAGCTCTCTCCTTACTCCAAACCTTCCTCTGCTCAGCTACCAGAGGGATTTTCCTAACGTGTTAGTGTGACAATGTCACCCACAATACACACATGCCCAGTGATCTCCAGTGACTCCCTGTGACAATCAGGATCAAATATAAAGTGTCCTCTTCTCACACCTTCCTTCCACGAGTGTTCTGATCCCACAGCAGTCCCTGGCAGAGATAATATTCTTTGACCAAGACATGTTATCGCACATCTCTATGCCTTTGCATTGGCTAACCCCCCAGGAGGTTCTGCCCACTTCCCTCTGTAGCGGATCAACCTCAGCCTTTCCCAGACTGTATGATGTTAATGCCTTCCATGTTCTCTCTTTCTCACCCCATATATATGTGTGTGTCTGTATAAGTGCACATATATATACATATGTATCTATATCACATGTAGAATCTCCCTCCCCACCCCCGCAATGTTATCTTCTGTGAGCTCCTTGAGGGCAGAGACCATGGTTTTCTTTTCTTTTCTCTGTCTCCCAGCACTTAGTACAATGCTAGGCACATAGTAAGGGTTTAGTAAATGCTTATTGATTCAGTTGGATGCCTTCTGTATAGATGACTTTTCCTAGGAGTTTAGCTGAGAAGCAGATGACAAATACAAGGCAGTAGTGGGGAATGCTAGGATGGAGAGGGTGTCGCTAGCTGGCTACTTCCTCAAGTAAAGGTTGGGGAACAGATTTATCAGTCATTGTTGAAGTCTTGGCCAACATGAGAAGGCTGTTGGGAAGGTGGTCAGGAAGTAGTTTGGGGAGTCTTGGCTGGGCCTGGCCTGTAGTGTGATGGGGTAGAGAGGCAAATTGTTAGTCAAGCACTGAACTCACAGTGAGACTAGCCCTGGGGCTTGGTAGATAATGGCCACCAATTGGGAGGGATTGGGTGATCAGTTTGGATAGAGGAGACCTCACAAGAGGCAGACTTGCTGAGTGATCATGGTAGAAGGAGAGACTTGAAGTGGCAGTGGGGGGGAGCAAGGGACATTTCAGCTTTGCCATCAGCACCAGGCATTGGTGGGTATTGAAGGGCATGGCTAAGGACGCAGTGTTATCAGCACAGGCGCCAGGTCCCAGTGAATACTGGCAGATAAAAGGAAAGAGAGTGCAGTATGTTAATGAAATGTTTAAATTTTTTTTTTTGTAAACAGTAATCAACAAGTAGAAATGTCCTAGGACACAAAAACAGAAACAAAACAAAACAAAAATAAGGATTATATACAAAATTGAATTTCTGTTGCTTGCAATTAAGTTTTAAAGTATTCACTTTAATGGATTAGAAACAAAATTTCAATATTTGTTTACCAACTTAAATCTTTTTAAAATTAATTTGTTTTTAGTTTTCAGCATTTACTCACAAGATTTTAAGTTCCAAATTTTCTCCCCATCATTCCCCTCCCCCTACCCCAAGATGACGTGCATTCTGAATGTCCCTTTCCCTACTCTGCCCTCCCTTCACTACCCCCCTTTCTCTTATCCCCTTCCCATTCTATTTTTCTGTAGGACAGGATAGATGTATATCTTATTTGCCAGTTCACAAAAAACAATTCTTTACATTTGTTTTTAAAACTTTGGGTTCCAAATTTTCTCCCTTCCACCCTCCCCACCCACCCTCATTGAGAAGGCAAGCAACTCAATATGGGTTATACATGTGTAGTCAAGCAAAATACTTCCATAATACTCATGTTGTGAAAGACTAACTATATTTCTGTCCATCCTCTCCCACCCCCCATGTTCCCAGCTAATTACTTGAGTTTTAAACTCTTTGTTAAGGTAGGGGTCTGCTTCCAGTGTGGAGAATGTCCTGTCCCAAGCTTTGGGGGTTTTGTGCAGCTGTTTTCAGAGATATTTTTAGGGACCTGTAAGTTTTCATTTCTTCCAGGGTGGTATGATCAAAGGTGAGGTGTTTACTCATTTTCTGGCCCGAGTTCTGGTCTATAAGTGACCACAAGCACTCTTTTCTGCTTGGAACTTTGAGGAGGATTTCCTCTCCACCGCCACTACAAGCTCCACCATGCCAGCGCTCCTCCTTGCCCCAGGACTGCCACCCAGGACTGTGACTCAGATCTAAGCACAGGCAAAGCAAGAGAATCCTGCCTCAGCACCAGCAAAGAGATCCCTGCAATCCTGCTCTGTTCAGCCACTCGATTCCCCCTCAGTTTGTGGGCCAGAAGCTCTGGAAGCAGCCACTGTCCCTGGACTGGGGCTGGACCATGCTTCCCTTTCACAGAAGTCCAATAGTCCTTTCCTACTGACCTTCTAAGTTGTCTTTGGTGTTTATGGGTTGAGAAGTCTGGAAACTACCACAGCTGCCCATGATTCAGTCCCCTGAAGCCTGCTCTAGGTTAACTGAGGCCTGGTCTTTGCCTGGGTGGCCCACACTGAACTGTGCTCCTCTCCTAGCCCAGCGCAACAGACCTTTCCTGCCAACTTTCCAGGTTGTCTTGGGCTGGAAATTTGTTTCACTCTGTCTTTTTGTGGGTTCTGCCGCTCTAGAATTTTTTTACACGTATTTGGAAGGGTTTGGAGGAAGGCTCAAGCAAGTCATGGCTTTTACTCTACTATTTTGGCTCTGCCCCCCCTCCCCCCAACTTTACATCTTTTACTGGTCTATATCTGGGTCCTAGGTAAACTCAAATGTATTTCCCATTTCAGGAATCAGTGACCTTCAAGGATGTATCCATAGACTTTACCCAGGAGGAATGGATGCGCCTGGATACTTCTCAGAAGGAATTTTACAGGGATGTAATGCTGGAGAACTATAGTAACCTGGTCTGCCTGGGTAAGGACAGCTTTTTCTACTGGAGGGCCTTTGTTTCCTAGTTTAATAAATGTTCTGTCATTTATGGGTTGGAATAGATGGCTGCTAATTCAAGCAATGAAATGCTTGAACTCTGTCGTTCTTTGATTTTGGGTGCCTCAAATGTTGAGCACTTAATGTTTGAAATGCAGAGACCAAAGATTTCTAATCCTTTTGGGTTTAAGACAGAACGGATATACATAAGCTTCCTGTTCGTCAATAAAAAATTTTCCTTTTTTTTGGTAACTTTTCCTGATGGTTTCTTTCTCTCTTTTTTTAAATTATTTAAAAATACATTTAAAATTTTTTTTGAGTTCCAACTTCCCTCCCTCCTTTCAGCCCTTCTTCCACCCACTGAGAAGGCAAGCAATCTGACATCAGTTCTACATGTAAAGCCATGCAAAACATTTCCGTGTTATCTATGTTGCAAAAAAAAAGGAAGAAAAATAAAGTATAAATCAATCTACATTAATCTCATCAGTTCTCTCTCTGGTGATGGATAGTATTTTATCATGGGTCATTTGGAATTATCTTGGATCATTGTACTGAATAGAGTAGCTAAGTCTTTCACTCTTGATCAGTGTTACAACGTTGCTGTTATGTGTTCAATGTTCTGCTGGTTTTGCGTACTTCAGTTTGCATCAGAAAGGTTTTCCTCTTTGATTAAATGAGATTATATTTGTTAATTGCTTAACAGGGTATCTGGAGTAGGTACTCTATAAATGCTTACTTACTTATTCTTTTGTCTGTACCTGTGAGTCCTTTTTCTCTTTATCTCTTTGGGGTATAGATCCAGTAATGGCATCATTGGGTCAAAAGGTACTCAGAACATTGGAGGCATAATTCAAAATTTTCTCCATAATGCCTGGACCATTTCATGGCTCCATCAGAAGTGCATCAATGTACCTGTTTTCCCAAAGCCCCTCTAGCCTTTGTCATTTAAACTTTTTAGTGGCATACCGCATGCATTCTCCAGAGGTGTTTTGTCTTGTTCGTGGGCCTTCCTGCCATCTACAGAGAAACAGGTTTTAGGATTGAATTCCAATACGGTTCTCTGAACCTGACCCCGGTTCCATTTACATTGAGCAGGACTTGCATTTTCCAAACCGTATGTCATCTACCAGCTGGAGCGAAGGGAAGCACCATGGATTCCGGAGGGAGATATGCCGAGGAAATGCCATCCAGGTGAGTGAGTCCTACCACGCCAGTCCATCATTGTAAGCAATAGTTCAGTTAGTCCTTTTTTTAGGGTTATATTTTTTTCTTTTTTACATTTTAAAAAAATTTTGAGTTCCAAATTCTTTCCCTCCCCTGTGCCCTTTCCCTGCATTGAAAAGATAAGCTATATGATACAATTATACTTGTGAAATCATGCAAAACATATTTCCACATTAGCTATGTTGCAAAAAAGAGAAAACTAGAGTGAAAATTATACTTCAACATACACTCAGAGTTTATCAGTTCTCTTTTTGGAAGTGGAGAGCATTTTTCATCAGGAATTTGGAATTGCCTCCTTAAAAGTAGCTAAGTCTTTTACAGTTGATCATCATACGGTATTGCTATTTCTGTGTATAATGTTCTCATTCTGCTCACTCCATTTTGCATAAGTTCATATAAGTCTTTCCCATTTTTTTCTCATCATGTCTTATAGCACAATAGTGTTGGAGTCAGAATTGGAGGCATTTAGGGTTAGAGTGGGAGGCACAAATTTAGGGTTTGGAGGCGCACATTTAGGGTAACTTGTTCATTCCCCAATCAATGGGCATCCCCCCAATTTCCAATTCTTTGCCACCACGAAAAGAACTGCTGTATTTTCATAAATATATTGTTCCTTTTCATTTTCCTTTGATCTCTTTGGGACACAGACTTAGTAGTGGTATCGCTGTGTCAAAGAGTATGCATAGTTTAATAGCTACTGGGTTCAAGTTTTACTGGGAAGGCTTCTATTTATCCCAAATACAGATAATGCTTGCATACTACTTATTTTAAGAAAAACTCCATTTAAGGGGTGAGGCCATGATGGTGGAGAAAAGAGAGCCTGAGCTGTCCCAAATTCCCCTCCAAACAACTTTAACACCTCAAAATAAATTCTGGAGCAGCAGAACCCACAAAACGATGGGGTGAAACAATTTTCCAGCCCAAGACAACTTAGAAGGTTGGCAGGAAAGGTCTGTTGTGCCAGGGTGAGAGTAGAGTGCAATTCAGTGCAGGCGGGGCCCCAACAAACCAGCAGCAGACTGTAGGGGCTCATGCATACACCACAGCAGCTTCTTAAGCTTTCCACCCACAGACGGTAAAGGGGTTGGACAACTGGTCAGAAGGAAGCTACAGAGGTTCTTTTTGCTAGCAGTAGGTGCAGGACTCTGTTGCATTGCTTACACAGGGATCTAGGTCTCAGATCTAGGATGAGGAGGTGCACTAGCACCCCAGAGCTTCTGGCTGTGTGGGAGTGGTAACTGGTCACAGTTTCAGAGTGGAAAAGAAAACTTATAATCACTTAGAGACCAGAACACAGGCTAGGAGAGTAGTAAACACACCTCTCCTTAGATCATAACACCTTAGAAGAACTGAAAACTTATAGACCTACTAGGACTAGTGTCGCGGCTGCTGCAGTGGCGAGCATGAGACCAGCTCAGTGCTCAGTAACCCGGAGACGCATGGATGAAGCGGGAGACAGCAAGGTGGCAGAAGCTCCGTTTATTGAGGGCAGTTAGCTGTCTTTTATGGCCCTAGTGATGCATGTTCAAAGTGTGATCCCCCTTGATAGCCAATCATCAGGTCTGCTGGAGCTCGTGTCAGGACTCCTCTCCCATTGAGAGGAGAGCCAAACCAACCGTGGGAGCTGCATGTCAGCAAAGGAGAGGTCCTGGGAGACTTCCTTATTTTTGCCACGCAACTATGTTGTGACCCTCAGCTTCTACTGATAGAAGCTAGAACTCCCATGGGAAAGTTCCCTCAACAGAGCTCTCATGAGACCGTGAGACATTCACCCTAACCATTCCCCCTTTTTGTTTTAAAGAAGGTGTCGTTGTGGGTGTGTGTCCTTCAGCACTTGTAGCTGAGACATAACATTTTTGAACGTGGAGATCATTACTTTCAAGAGGCATCCGGCTATAATAGGCAAGCAGCATAAAAGTAAGCATACTACAACAATCAGTATAATCCAATACTCAAATGATCCCCTCCAATTGGAGGCATTATCAAACCAACGTATGATTTTCTCTGCTGTTTTGTCAGGATTCAAGTCCTGTTCAGAAGCCTTTTTTATTTCAGAGGCTAAGCTATATAAAGTTTCAATGTCAGATTCTATTGTATTGTTTAAGAGTAGACCATTCAAGTGGTTTCTGATTACTGTCCAGTTGTAAGTAGAATTGTCATGTGTAAGTGTCATGCCATGATTGAACAATAGTCCCACTTAAGTTCATGCAGAGGCGGTGCGCCGCTACACAAGTCTCCACATGAGGCCAGCCAGACCCAGAGTCACTGTTCACCTTACATTTGTCCAGACCCCCCGCGCGGAGGGAGGTGGCGTTGGAGCAGGGCGTCCCCTGTCCGCCGAGTAGGTGAATCTGGTGTGGCCCCATGCCGGGAATGTTCATGGCAAGGGTGACGTTCTGCAGTTGTATGCAGCCCTCCACGTTGTTGGTGCGGGACCAACAAAGCGGCTGCCGCATGGACAGTCCTGTGAAGTTGTATTTTACTGACGATGGAGTCGCATTAGTTTGTGTGGGGAGGTCAAACTCATACCTCACCATTCGTGATGCAGTCCCCTGGAACACAAGGTTAGGTAACTGTTCACCCCAAGCTACTACTTGAGGCCATGGGGGGTCCATGTAGATCGCCCACCGGTGTGGCCCTGTCTCATTTGCTCCTGCCGCAGGTATTGCCAGGCTAAGTAGGGTGAACACCGATAGAAGCTGATGACTCTGTCTCGCCATATCTGTTTGTCCTTGTCTCCTCCTTTTCTTCCTGGGGTGTCTCCCGAGTAGGGACAACCTTGAGAGTTTTTGTTGGCACCCACTTAGCTCCTTCACCTGTTGAGATACAAGCATACCCTGGTCCCCAGGTTAGTACCCTAAAAGGTCCTACCCATTCATTATTGGGATTTTTCCACAGGACCAATTTCTTTTTATCTGTGTATATTGTTGGGCCATCATGAGTCAAGGTAGGTGAATTGTGAGGTAAAAAGAATTTCATAGCAGGGGTAAGGTCATTACCATCAAATTTCAAATAATTTATAGTATACAAGATTTTATTAATCTGTCTTTGAGGGGATAACCGCTCAGTTCCCCCTTTTTGTTTTTGAAAGAAAGTTTTGATGGTTTGATTCATTCGTTCAACAATGGCTTGACCAGTTGGGTTATAAGGAATACCACATATATGCTGTATGCCAGACTCTAGAAAAAAGGCTTGTAATTGCTTGGCAGTATAAGCGGGCCCATTGTCAGTTTTTATCACACATGGTGGGCCAATTATAGCAAAAGCATGATAAAGGTGATTAATAACATGTCTAACAGCTTCTCCTGTTTGAGGAGTAGCTATACAAAATCCTGAAAATGTATCCACAGTAACATGGAGGAATTTATGTTTCCCCAATGGTGGAATATGTGTAACATCTATTTGCCATAGAGAGTTAGGAAAAAGTCCTCTAGGATTGATACTCGAGCGAAGTGATGGTGAATTGAAAGGGACACATTGAGTGCACCTTTTCACTATATCTCTGGCTTGTTCTCTGGTTATGCCATAAAGGCGACGTAGAGACCTGGCTGACATATGATACTTACCATGTCCTTGTTGTGCTTCTTGACAATTGCCTGTAAGCATAGAATCCACAATATTATTCGCTGAAAATATGGGACCTAAACCATCTGTATGGGGTCTTACATGCATTACATGCAGAGGATGTTGTCTTGATCTAATGGATGATTGAAGTTCATAAAACAAGTCTGTTATTGGTGAACCTTCGGGTTTGATATATGCTGTTTCGCTGTGAGAGAGCACACCAGCAGCATAATGACTGTCTGTAATAATGTTAATAGGTTGAGGTATTCTGCAAGCATGTAGAAGAGCATATAGCTCATTCTTTTGAGTGGAAGTGTATGGAGTCTGTATAACTGTGTGAATGTCTAAGTCAGGACAATATATAGCAGCTTTCTTTTCTTTAGTAGCATCAGTATAGACATTATAGCCATCAACAGGTGTATTCCTGACAATCTTGGGGAATATCCATTGCCAGTTATTAAACCATTTTGCAAAGGAGTATTTTTGTCCTGCTTGAATATTACCTAGATTCAATAACACAGTCCAATTGTCATCACAATATAAAAGGGTCTCAAGTCTTTCTTTTGTAACAGGGACCCACAAAGTGCCTTTCTGTCCACTAAGATGTAAAATGCAAAGAAGTGCCTTTGTAGCCAACATAGAGGTTTCTTCTAGATAACTAGTTAAAACTCTTTTATTACTGGTTTTGCTGTATAACCATTCTATAATGTTTTCTTCTTGGTGAAGTATAATGTGTGAATGTTGCTGAGCCATTATCAATGTGGCTTCAATCTCCTTCTGTGGAGATACCCGATGGGTGTGATTTCCTAATTTCCTAATGATTTGTTTTAAGCTTTGTTCAGCCTCAGGGGTCCATTTTCTAGGAGAATTTAAGTGAGGATCCCCTTTTAAGATAGAATATAAGGGTTGCATCTCCTCATTAGTAATGCCTATCTTGGTCGCATCCATTGAATATCTCCTATCAATTTTTGGAAATCATTTAAAGTTTGTACCTTGTCTTGTCTAAGCTCAGGAGGTTGTAAAGAGACTTCCTCCAAGTCAAGCTGAAATCCCAGACGTTGAAAGGGAGGTTGTTTTTGCACTTTCTCTGGTGCTATCTGAAGCCCTTTGTTTGTCAAAATAGATACTGTTTCTTGGAGTATCTGCTCAAGGACTTCTAAATTGGCATGACTACAAAGAATATCATCCATATAGTGCACTAAATAGGCTCCTTTATATTTAATTCTTAAAGGCTCTAGTAGGTCTGCTATATGCCTTTGGCAAATAGTAGGACTATTTTTCATTCCTTGTGGTGAAACTTTCCATTGATATCTCCGAGCAGGAGCACAGTGATTTGGTGTAGGTACAGAAAATGCAAAATACTTTCAGTCATCAGGGTGCAAGGGAATGGAGTAAAAACAATC